GCAACCAAACAAAGGGCAAAGAATACACATTAACGAAACAGAGGCATAAAAAATGATCCTTTTCCGATCCAGACTTGGATAATCAAATCTGTATAAAACCCATGTAGCTAAATTTCTCAGGCAGCCAAGAGAACCCAGAAAAAGAAATGAAAATGCGATTCCAAGATCCAAAAAAAACCCAAAATTTAAAAGAAACAGAGAATGCGGATCCAAACCTTTCTTGGCCGGCGGTGTCCCAAATCTGGGCCTTGACGACCTTATCATCTACCCGAATGCTTCTGGTAGCGAACTCGACGCCAATGGTGGACTTTGATTCAAGGCTGAACTCGTTCCTCGTGAACCTGGACAAAAGGTTCGATTTTCCGACCCCTGAGTCACCGATTAAAACCACCTTGAACAAGTAATCATAATCGTCGTCTGCTCTGTACGCCCCCATCTCCTTACAGAAAATATATTTTAGTTTTTACCTGGTGAATTTTTTTGTCTTCTTTTTTTTATTGTGTTTGTCTTTTTCTTTGTTTCTGAGAGAAATCAAACGAGTTGGATTGATGGGTAAATGGGTTTTGGAATTATGTTGTATAAATATTAAGAAGCATGGCGGTCTATGTCTGTATGTGAGTTATGGTGGTGAATGGGTTTTGTTTGATTTCGAGAGAAATAGCAAAATGGAGGTTGAAGAGAGGAAGCAAGCTGGAATTGTGGGGTTTCTTAGTTGGCAAAATTGTGGTTATGATTAAAGACTCCGGTCCCAAACAAATTTCTTAACCCTTTTCCCTTTTGGTCACAGCACAGAATATTGACAAAGGAGCACCCAAATTCTTGTGGAAATACAAACTTTATTATTTGGATTCAATACCGTATATTTGGAATTTTGTTTCTTTTATTTAAAAAAGGAAAGAGCAGCTAAAGTCAAAGCTCTTATGACTCTAACTAAAAGCCAAATGAGTTTTACAAGGAACAATAGCAAGACTCCAACTTTTACCATAACACCTGTGAAATCTGTTTGTTTGTATGAGTGAGACTCGTTTGAAATTTGAAAGACGATATCAAATGAGAAAAGGTTTTTTAGGTTTTAGACATAAAAAAAATTTCACTTTTGGAAAAAGCCAAAGCTTTTTCAAAAAAGACAAAAAAACCACTCAACTTTCAAATCAAAGACATGCAAATGTATTAGATTCCTTAGGAAATCTAAAAATAAATAAGGGCATTTTTGTCCATTTTTGCTTCTTTTAAAATTTTTCTCTCTCCTTTTGCTTTTTCCAAAATGTCCCAATGAGAAACCTACTGGATTTTGCTTTCTGAGATTAGACAAAACAAAAAAGTTTGTTGCTTTTCAAAAACCCACTTGATTGATTTGAGGTTTATCATAACAATTTCAAATTTATATAAATTGTATTTTGTATGGCAAGCCATATGTCCTCCAATTTTGTGTTCTATTTCAGAGTTAGTTAGATATATTCACAACATCATGCATGCCGCTATATATTTTCTTTTAGCACAAGGGATTGGGGAGGGGGGTTTATACAAATATTCATTGAGTGCTTTGGGGTTTCGAACTTCTGCCAACATAAGTAGAAATGAATGAGTTTAACTAACTGAGTTATACCTCACAGGCTTAGGCGTATATTTGAGGAGTCATTTTATACCCCATGCCTCACTATAGAATTCTTATATATTTGAGACATTGTTATATGTATGCAGGAGATAAGACTCTATTTCTTAACGTTGGATCAGACTAACTAATTTGATCAAACGGCTAACTAATTTGATCCAATAATAAAGAGATAAAACCTCATATAAGGATTTTAAATAAAACCCTCACTATGAAATTCTATATATACGCAGAGGATGAGGTAGAGCCTATAAATGGCCCAGTTTGATGGATTGCCTCACGAATTGCTTGTAAACTTTTAATGGGTTGATACAATGAGGCCCATATTGTCTTCAAGAATAATACAAGAGCTAGACCGACAGGCTCTCCTCAACTGATATACAAACTAAAATGCTATATATAAAAGTTACCAACCTAAATAAATAAATAAAATTTATATGAAAGGGTCTCTCCTTTGTCCCTTCACATCAATTTCCAAATTAAATAACATATACATGAAGAACAAAAACGTACAAATCACATAAGTGGGGCAAGAACAAGAACTATCCCATCGAGCTAGGTGACTGTTCACTCCAGCCTTCACACTTCACCTAATCCACTCGTGGGGCATATGCAGATTGCAGATTATTGCAGGGGTATACGCATATGATCTGATCTGATGATCATCAACCACTGTGAACATGCCACGTGGAGTTTATACCAACCAACAATCCTACAAAACAAACCCTCAGATACGTATTGCTTTACAAAGCACACCTCAAATCAAATATCTTCCACAACCATGCTTCTTTTCCACCATGCACCTCATGAGAGAGAGAGAGAGAGAGAGAGAGAGAGAGAGAGAGTATCATACGTGAGATAGTTCATGCAAAATACAGTAGCATATAGTGTAGCTTAGGTAGCCATAGAGAGAAGGAATTTTGGTAGGGCAACCAAGTCTTGTTTTCTTTGATATATCAAAATCACTCAATCAAATCCACAGCAATAAGTAGAAGAACACTGTCGGGCACCAGATTGCAACTTACACGTTACAAATCTGCACCACTCAACTAAGTTGACCACCCCACCCCCTCGTCAATAACAACTCCCTGCCTGCCTGTCTCTCTCTCTCTCTTACAATTTTTCCCTTCCCTTCTGATGATCGCCAACTGCAAGCATAGCATAGTGACTGATTGGCTGATGTTATCTGATCTGATCTGATGACGATGATCAGGTTAAAAAACCAAGTGCGCACTGTATGCCGGGTGTTCGTCAAACATTAACACCTTTCCGTTTCCGGTCAGGCTCTCTGATTTGTCCAAGCAAGGTACCTTTTTTTCTAATGGTCTATCTTATCAAATACTGCTGAAACTGAAAGGCACCCTGCTCAGTTTCTATACACCTTCTATCAAATCAGATATATGGCATATATGTGTATGTGGGTCCACTCGAATGCCCTAATTTATGATGTGTGTATATATGGACAAAATAATGCACCAAAAGTAATAAAATTTGGCAAATTGCAGTGCACACCAGAGCACGATGTTAGCTAAATGAATGTTCCTAAATATTTCATGCAACCAAGAAAACTATTTGTCGATCTCTTCCTATATTGCTTCCTATGTACCATTTAATTTTTTTTTCCCCTTTTGGGATATCTATTCCAATTAATGTACATATTTATAGATAAAAAATCCTAGTTATACCACATTTATATACTAATATGATATTTTGGATTGATGAATCTCGATTAATCCATGATAAAGATAGGAATGGGTTGGGAAAGCATCACCCATAATTTACATAATGATCAATATGTTGCTTCAAAAAGTATGTATTGTTTGCCTCTTTAATAT